TTTTGGATCAGGACTTTGTTTGTATCTGCAGTGCCTTGTTTGGTTTCTTTTGAAAACCTCTGGAAATAAAGCTAAAACCTTTTACAACATGCTGCTGCCCAGCTCTTGTCTGCACTTTGGTCTGCCCGCAAACCCTTTTATGACAGTATGTACCTGGCTGTTGTGAAGTGCCTTGAGACAACATGTGTTGTGAATTGGCGCTATATGAAGAAAACTGAATTGAATTGAAATTGTAAGTGTGAAAAAAAAAATATTTACTTTTATTAGACATCCATCCATTTTCTATAACTGCTTCTTCCATACAAGGTCACAGGGGAGCTGGTGCCTATCTCCAGTAGTCTACACCCTGGATGGGTGGCAAGGGTGCACACAACCATTCACACCCAAGGGAAATTTAAAGGGGAATTAACCTAAAAGTCATGTAGTACCCAGAGAGAGCCCACGCATGCACGGGGAGAACATGCAAACACCATGCAGAAAGACCCCAAGCTGGGAGTCAAACCCAGGACCTTCTCGCTGCAAGGCAACAGTGCTACCAACTGCGCCACCATACAGCACCTTTATTGTTTGTTTATAATTATTTATTTTATCATTAATTTGAATAAATCCAATTAATATACAGAATCTCTTAAGCAATTCTATTTTATCATTTTTAACAAATACTTGTCTGTAAAAAGGTATTTATTTGCATTAAGGCATCATGACACAATTCTTTGTAGAAACACATTTTGCCACATTTTTTTGGCATATGTCTCTACTTTGCACATCTGCAAACTTAATATTTTGCTATTTTTTCTTTGTAGAACAGCTCAAGTTTAGTCAGATTGGATGGACAATATCTGTGAACCAATATTTGCAGGTCTTGCCACAGATTAACGACTGAATTTAGGTCTGGACTTTGACCAGGCCATTCTAACAATTATTTTCTGGCACTGGGACCTTTATTTTCCAAATTTTTTGGACAGTAAAAATGGTAAAGAGGGGGGAGAAGACATGCAGCAAAAGTCACCTGGCCCCGAGTCGAACCCTCAATGGGCTTCGTCAAGGACAGAAGCCTCTGAATATGGGACGTGCTGGAGGGGTAAAACGCACGTCCCATGTTCAGAAGCCATGGGATGTGCGTTTTACCCCTGCGACGACAACGTTAAATTGCTTTGATCTAAATCGTTCTATTGTACACTATCAGTCAAAATATGGACACACCTTTCCATCCAATGGTTTGTCTTTATTTTTATTCCTATGTCTGAGAACTCTTTCAAGATTGTTGGAAAACCATTTCAGGTGACTACCTCATGAAGCTCATCGAGACAATGCCAAAAGTGCACAAAGCAGTAATTAAGGTCAAGGGGGACTATTTTGAAGAATCTTAAATATAAAAGATGTTTTGAGTTATTTCACAAATTTTTATTTGCTGTATAATTCTATTTACAGTCATATTCAATAAATTACAATATTATTGAAAAGTTTATTTATTTCAGTAACTCAATTCACTAAGTAAAACACATTATATAGACTATTTAAACAGAGGCTGATGTTTTAAAGCCTGTATTTTGTTTATTATGATGATTTTTCGCTTACAGCTAATGAAAACGAGACATTTAGGAATAGAATATTACATCAAAACTATAAAAACAACATTTTAATGCAGAATTTTAATCCATTCTAATTTATTGAACATGACTTTACTTTACTTCATAGTTTTGATGTTTTCACCATGTATCAACAATGTAGAAAGTCATTCAATCTAAAGACTATTGAATGACAATGGTGTGTCCAAACTTTTGAATAGTAGTGTAGCTCTGGGCGTATTCACACCTTTAGTTGGCTTGGTTTGCTTTCGGGGGCAGTATTGCTCCAGTAATGCTATGAGAAGAAAAAAAACATGAAGAAGAAATACCATGCAGAAACCAGCAATTGCAACTGTGTCAGGGTATGTTTCTCTGATCAGTTTCAGGTTCCGGGTTGGCTACACACCGACATCATCTGCACCAGAAACTGGACTCTGGCAGAGTAGAAAAACGTTCCAAAGGTCTGGTTTCTGACAGCATTTTTTTGTGTCATTGTTCTGCAGGAAGGTGAACCTTTGCATCTCCCTCAAGTCTTTTACAGATTCTCCCAAAGCTTTGGATCTCTGCAGCGGTTCCAGATTTCCAGAAGTAAGGCCATGTATTTTCAGTTTTACTATGCACTTTTTATTATTAGATGTTCAAAGCTTGGATGTTATTTTATAATCTCATCCTGTTTTAAACTCTGTTCCTTCATGATGCTGTTTGTTCACTAATGTTCTCCAACAATACTCTGATGCCTTCCAAGATATTTGATTAGAAAATAATGCTAAATGCCACATATACCATGTACTCACAACTATGGGTTTGATTTGGTTTATCACATAAAATACCAAAAGCTACAAACAACCTCTAAGGCACTGTGTGTAGTAATACATGACTACCACCTGTTCTTCTACTTGATGTTTTTGTAGCTCATTAGTTTACTTGGTTCTAATTAGTTTTAAGGCTTTAATTGTGTTATTCATCTGTATTTTAATTTGTCTTTTGTGTACCAGAAAGACCATATGGGGTCAGGTAAAGCAAACTAGCTAGGGCTATAAATGCATGCGTGTGTGGTATAAACTGTCATATTCAATATAGTAGAATGTGCCTTCTGATGAATCAGATTGTCAGAATAAAAATACCTTTTGAAAATACCAACCTTTAAGAAGGTATTAAATATATTCTAAATTTAGTCCACATTTCTGTATTAGAATGATTTTTTATTGGTCTGATGTGATATAATCTTAAATATTTTGTTTTTATTAGCTGTAAGTGGAAAATTATCTTACATAACAGAAATAAGGGCTTGAAAGCATTAGTCTGTATGTAATTAATTTACATAATATGGTTTACTTAGTGAGTTAAGTTAATAAAATTTGAATTTATTGAATAGGACTCTAACACTAAATAAACCAATCAATAGCTGTATGATAAAACTGAATTGAACTTGGTAAATAGAATAGTTTCTTCTTTAGGAATTAACAGCTCATTCTGTTTTTATTGGGGTTTGAATTAAACTTGTAATTTATGAATTGTTGACAACTAAACATGACCATTATTTTGCCATTAATCTTGCATATATACCATAAATATGAGGGATGTATGTGTGCTTGTGTGTGTGTGTGTGTGTTGAGAGAAAAAGAGACTCAACTCGCAGACACTTGGCACTGCAGTCGTTAGAGTGTGCAAACGTAATTAACTAATCATGGTGGCTGACATGATACAAATACAGTTGTAACTGGCCTGCCGAGGTGAGTTTGAAATACTCAAACAGATGAGCTGCAACACTTAGACAGCGACGCTGCAGCACACTCAATCCCAAAACTAATTGGGTCAGCCACTCCTTAAAGAGGCAATTTCCAAAGCAATTACAGCTTCCAGTTTGCTTATGAGCAACTGATAACCAAGTGAAACGTCTGAGGAATCTTTGCAAAATACATGTTTGGTGTTTTCAAATGTGACTTTACCAACTTTAATCAATTCCAGGATCACAGGTAAAGTCATAAATAGAGAGAAATTACAGCTCCCAATGATGGAACGAACTGCATTCCGTTGGAATGTCTCCCATCATGCAATCCTATCATCATGAAAGCAAATGCTCCCTGGATGCCTCTGATATGCGCAACACTGGATTTATGTCTGTGAAGTTTCACTGATTGACATTGCATCCAAAGAATCTGAAAATAGCAGCAACTGGAATAAAAGGGTTAATATTATGTATAGAAACTCTGTTCTTAGTTAAAGAAGTTACTCAGTAATAAGAATTGCAACTGCGGTCCAGTCCTCGCTGAATTTAAAAGTTAAAATATTATTAAAAAACAGGTTTTCTACACTTTTCATTCAACTTTCCAGAGTTCTGTCCTTTGTTTATTTCAAAATACAATAAACCTAAAGGTAAAGGAAGGTCACAGGGAAGGAAGGAAAGAGGGGCACAAGGAAGGACGGTAGGACACAAAGAAGCAATCAAGAATGAACAAATGGGAGAAAAGAAGGGAGGACACAAGAAAGGAAGGATAATAGGACATAACTGAGCAAGGAAGGAAAGAAGGACATGAGTAAGAAAGAAAGAAAGAAAGAAAGAAAGAAAGAAAGAAAGAAAGAAAGAAAGAAAGAAAGAAAGAAAGAAAGAAAGAAAGAAAGAAAGAAAGAAAGAAAGAAAGAAAGAAAGAAAGAAAGAAAGAATGGTATAAAGAAAAGGAAAGGCACAAGTGAAAAAGAAAGGACACAAGTGAAAAAGAAAGGACACAAAGAAGGAAGGACACAACATTTAAACAATAGCAGAAGAAAAATGTTCTCAAATACAGAAATGTATTTTCTTTTTCCATACCTATTGAAACAAAAAAAAGCATCAATTATAAAGTTGAACAACATCCAGTTCATTTGTTTTGTTTTATCTTTATATTTAGCATTTTTCCATCAACAATCTATTGAGAGTAGAGTTTCCTAGCTAACTTTTGACCAAGATACTAACTGAAGGTAGCAGTTTCTGGCTGAGAACCACAGCCTCAGACTTAGAGGAACTAGACTACTCTCAAAAGATTATAGATATCTGGCTTTCAGGTGAAATTTCCGAATTAACCTAAAATCCACAATAACCTTTACAGGTGAACTTAATGTGACCTTCTCTAGGTTTTTGAATGCACATGCCCACCTGTTCAATGTTTTAGTAATTTTTGGACAACTTGCTCCTCTTTAACAAAGAATTTAACCAAATAATTCACAGCAGGTGTTTGATCCATGAATGGACCAATAAATTTCCTGGTTCAATCAGAATTGGTATTTAATAATAATAATCATCATCTTTATTGGTCATTGCACATTACAACAAAATTTCTCCTCTGCATTTGACCAATCCCTTATAGGGAGCAGTGGGCTGCCATTGTGCAGCGCCCGGGGAGCATTCTGGGGCTAAGGGTCTTGCTCAGGGACCCAGAGTGGAAATCTGTGGGATACGAACCTGGCCCCTTGTGTCCCCTCTGGAACACAAACCCCCTGTTCTAACCACTAGGCCACCACTCCTGTTCACATTTTGACATCATGAGACCCAGATGACACCTAATAATTGATCGACAGTACCTCGCCGTGGCGACGCTTCAAACAGGATATGTTCTCAGACAAAAGTTGCCACCGAGCTTAGGGTGTCACCAGCAGGTGCAACAGAGATACAGAGAGACTGGAAGAGTCAGAGAAAAGCAAGTGGGCATCTTTTGGCCACATCCCACACTGATGACCACTACATTGTGAACAGTGCCCTGTGGAACCAAATGATAAATGCAACTCAACTCCAGGTATGTTTAAGGGAGGTGAGAGGCGCCCAAGTGCATTGTCAAACCATTCAAAACTGGATTCATCAGCATGTCTGCATATTAGGCGACTGCAAGGGTACCTGACCACACCACCAGGCACAGGCATCATCATCTTGCATGGGACAGGGAGCGTTAATGGTGGACTATGGACCAGTGAGTCTTAGTTTTGTTCTCTGATGAAAGTTGACTGACGTTGAGC